CACACACACACACACAAACAACAATACTATTTCTGTTACATTCACAGCTCATTATTATAATCTGCTCTCCTTCCCTTCCCGTGAAGCTAAGGATGGAGTACCTTTCCCTGATGCACTCCATAATGCGCTCGACGGACTACCTTGAGCACCAGCACCGCCTGTCCGACCTGCAGGGGGCACTGCAGAGGATTCTAAGGGAGGAAGAAGATCCCGGAGAGGAGGAAGGGAGCGCTACAGCCAAACAGATGGATAAGCTCATTGTGCAGCAGATCTACAAGGAGTTCCCACATATCTGTGAGAACCAGGTCTAACCATGTCAGTATCACGCTCACACACTGTAGTCTGCTCCCATCTACTGCAGGGAGGTGCAATAAAGCTTGAAAGAAGAAGAACTGATGTTTGATGGGACGCCCTGTGATCTGTGCCAGACTGTACTGAGAGAAGCAAACCAGTTCCGCCAATGTTTTCCTGGACTGGTCGTCCAGCATCCCTGTGATTGACATCAAGAAGATCTTGCAGCTTTTCTCCTCTTGAATAATCTGATCTTTATCTGATGAATTCAGGAGGATGTCTTAAGTTTGTGTCAAGAAGGGAAAAAATATGACGAGTGCGTTGTGAGGTTTAGTCATACGGAGATTAAAAATAGCCAAATCTAGGGCAAGTTTAGGAGCTTTTCTCACAGTGAATTCTTAGCAATAATAACAATTACACATTACCTAACTATACTTTATTAATTAAAGTAATAAAGCAACAGTAACTATGACTAAATCTTATTCTAACCAAATCAAACAGATTTTAGAGCAAATTGATCGATTTGACATTTTATTCAAATTAAAAAATAGTTGTGAGAATACTTTGAGCCTTTATGTGCTTCCCTAACAGTGGGACCAAACTACTGTGTGTTACTGAAAGCATTATTTTATTTACAGCATACAGAGCTTCCTCTTTCATCCACTTCCGCATTCAGTGTATTTCAAACTAAATCAAGTTCAGCAAGTGTACTGTCATATTGAGAGGAAAAAAAACCTGGACTCATGAGTTATCATTACTAAGCTTTTAGCTGAGTAACCTGCTGCTACATACTGAGTCTCTCCTGTGGCTCGGTCTGGTACGTTTGTCGATCGCTCTGAACTGACACACGCTAAACTCCTCCAGCGCCACAAGTCATTGACTGTTTACAGATCTGAGGGTTTTGTCGTAATGCTGCATTCACACTCAGCCTAACTGTGCTGCAATAAGGCTTTTAACAACGTGCTGTAAAAGACTGAGTATTGACTAATGTGAAGAGGAAACGTGTTTTGCAGTTATTATCTTAAATATTTAACTGGTCAGTGTTGTTGATTTCTGGTTATAATCTCATAGTTCCACTGCAAATCAAAACAAGGCAATACAGGGCATTTTGTTTATCTCCTCGTGGTCTTATTCTTAAACAGCAACACATCCCTTTCCTTGTTTCTTCCCTGTGATGTAGTGATTGATGTCGTTCTCCCATCTTACACTGAGCTTCTCTGTTTCTGTCCCTGGAATGGCTCCTTTAAACATGTGTCTGAGAACACAATCTAGAAGTAACATCAGATTTATGTCCAAGTACTCATTCATTCACTGTTAGTGAGAGAGATGAACGTTTCCTTTCCATATTTAACATTGTCTGCACATCTGCTCTGACTGTGTTATAATAAATCTAATAAAGCTATATTTTAACAGTGGAAGTATTCGGATTGGATCATTGTTTTCACATTTTAACTTCTTCCTTAAAAAAGATGTATGTAAATTAAATGCTTCATATACAACTGTGTGAGGAAAAACTAAGATGTATGAACAAGCACTGAGTGATAGAGGTGCGTAATAATGTAATGTAAGGATTTAC